GGCCGCACGCATGCCAGGCGAGCGCACTACCGCTTGAGCCACATCCCCAGCCCCTCAAGGCCTTTTATTATGTTTTATTTTGAGACAGAGTCTAAGTGGTTTAGGGCCTACCTAAATTGCTGAGGCTGGCCTCAAACTTGTGATCCTCCTGTCTCAGCCCCTCATGGCTCTAGGATTATAGGCACGCTCCACCATACTTGGCTTTTTTTCTCTTTATTATGGTGCTCCCGCTTCTTTCCCTGTCCAGGCAACTTGTACTTACGTAAGTTCGGAACTGAACTGTTTCTCATAGTCCTAGTAACCATGATTTCTTGAGTTCTCCAAATCTCTGTTAGTTTAATGTTGGTCCTCAGTGTATTGCCTCATGTATCCATCTTACTGTGTGGGCATTCTCTAGCTGTTTTGATTTTGAACTGTGGAGAAGTTGCAAAGTGCATCTTAACTCCTCTCCGCCATCCTGATCCCAGTCTGGAGTTTTAAAAAAAAAATTCCTCACAATTAGAGTTTGTAAGATAACTCTGAGTAATGGGATATCAGAAATTCGTTGTGTTATACAACAAATGGATAAAAATAAAAATATAAATATATAAATACAATTTGTGTCTGTGTGTGTGTGTGTGTGTGTGTGTGAGTGAGAGAGAGAAAGAGAGAGAGGGAGAGGCAGATACTTGGGACTGAACTCAAAAGCATTGTATCTCTGAGCTACATCTACCCAGCCTTATTTTTAATTCTATTTTTGAGACAGGGTCTTGCTAAGTTGCCCAGGCTGCCTCAAACTTGAGATATTTCTGCCTCAGCCTCCTGAATATCTAAGACTACAGGCATTACAGATACTTTCCCCTATAAATACAGATATTAAAGTCCAGAATAGAAAGGACTAAGGTCTTTTTAAAAAATATATGTGTTTTGGGGCTGGAGTTGTAGCTCAATGGTAGAGCACTTGCCTAGTATGCATGAGGCACTGGGTTCAATTCTCAGTTCCACATATAAATAAATGAATAAAATAAAGGTCTATCAATAACTAAAATATCTTTAAAAATATGTATTTTAAATTTTAATTGATGCAAATGGATACATAGTAATTGTGCATAATTATGGGGTAAAGTGTGACATTTCAATCCATCTATACAATGTGTCATCAGGTCAGGATAATTAGCATATTTTTCACCTCAGATATACATAATTTCTTTGTGTTGGGAACATTCAAAATCCCCTCCACCAGCTATTTTGAAATATTCAATTAATTGTTAATCATAGTTCTCTTATATAACATTAGAAGTTATTCTTCTCATCCAATTGTACCCCTGTACCCATTGTCCATCCTCTCCATCCCTTCCTCCCCTATACTCTTCACAGGCTCTAATAACTGCTATTCTATTCTCTACTTCTTTGAGATCAACATTTTAGCTTCTACATGTAAGTGAGAATATGTGCTATTAGTCCTCTGTACCTGACTTATTTCATTTAACACAGTATCCTCCATGCTCATCCATGTTATTGCAAATGATAGAGTTTCATTATTTTTCTAGCTGAATATTTCATTGTGTATATATGCCATATCCCCTTTATCCATTCATCCTTCTGTGGATGGATACCTATGCTTATTCTGTGTCTTTGCTGTTATGAACAGTGCTGCATATGATGTATATATTTCTCCTTCATATTAATTTCAGTCCCTTTGTCTATACACTCAGTAGTTAGTTGTGTTGATGGATCATATGGCCATAAGTAGTTCTATTTATAGTTCTTTAAGGAACCTCCATTCTGTTTTCCATATTGGCTGAACTAGTTTAAATTCCTACAGAGTACAAGAGTTTSCCTGTCTGTATTCTTGCCAGTATTTGCCTTTTTTGGTAATAGGGAGGTGCATATTGTGATTTTGATTTGCATTTCCCTGATGATTAGTGATGTCAGGCATTTTTTTTYCATATACTTTTTGGCCATTTTTATATCATCTTTTTAGAAATGACCTTTTCCAGGTCATTCATACATTTTTTTAAAAAAATCAGATTATTTTCTCTTTTGCTATTCAGTTGTTTGAATTTCTTATATATTCTGAAAGATAATCTCTTGTCAGGTAGTTGGTAAATATTTTTTCCCATTCTGTAGATTGTCTCTTTACTCTGTTGTTGTTTCCTTTACTGTGAAGAAGTTTTTTAGTTTGATGAAGTTTCACTTACAACAGACAGAGGTCTAAGCAGGAAGACCAAAATGAAGATTAAGGATTGCTTTTTAGGAGATATAAATTGTGCTCCTTAGGAAGCACTGGAATCCTGTTAAGGCATTTTCTTGCATACTTGAGATAGAGCTTCCTTGGTCATGGTGTATAATTCATTTTATACACTGTTGGATTCAATTTGCTAATTTTTTTAAGACATGTAAATTAATGAGAGATACTGGTCTGTCATTTTCTTGTAAGGTCTGTGTGTAGTTTTTATATCAGAGGAACACTGGCCTCATAGAACGAGTTAGCAAGTATTTCCTATTGTCTTTATATCCTGGAAGAGATCGTAGAAAATGAGTATAATTCTTTCTTAAACATTTTTAAGTATTGATTCAATCTTTTAATATCTTTACTGTTTTCTATTTGATGTCCTTTTTCTTTGTTCCTGCTTTGACTTTCACTTTTTTCCTGTGTTTTGTGATTTTAGTTGAGCATTTTATATGATTCTGTTTTTTCTCCTTTCTTAGCTATCAATTGAATTTAATTTTTTTAGTGATTGTCCTAGATTTTATAATATACAATCATATTTCACTTTCAAGTAATACTGTACCACCTCGTAGATAGTATGATACCTGTTACAAAACATTCTGTCAGGTTACTTAAGAATAAGAAAAAAATGGCTGGTGTGTGGGTGCATGCCTATAGTTCCAACTCCTTTGGAGGCTGAAGCAGTAGAATTGCTTGAACCTAGGAGTTTGAGGCCACAACTTTTAAAACCCCACCTCCAAAAAACAAAACAACAATAAAAACTGGCATTTTTATTATGTGTTCAATTATCTCTTCTCTGATGTGCTTCCTTCCTTTATATAGATTCAAGTTTCTGACCTATATTTTCCCATTCCCTGAAGAACCTCTTTTAACATTTCTTCTGAGGCAAGTATACTGGCAACAACTTCCTTCAATTCAATTTTTGTTTATCTAAAAAAGTCTTTATTTCCCCTTCATTACTGAAGGATGATTTTTTTATTTTTTATTTTTTTAGTTGTCAGTTGATCTTTATTTATTTATATGAGATGCAGAGAATCCAACTCAGTGCTCACACATGCTGGGCTACAGCCCAGTACCACTGAGCTACAACCCCAGCCTCCCTGAAGGATGATTTGATAGGTTACAGAACTCTAGATGGATTTTTGTTTCCTTTTCACTATTTTAAACATTTCGTTTCCCCTCTATTCTTGCTTGCTTAGTTTTTGAGGAGAAGTTGGGGTGTAATTCTTACCTTTATCTCTTTGTAATTAAGATGATTTTTTTCTTTTGCCTTCTTTAGCATTTTGAAATTTATTTTTAATTTTCTGCAGTTCAAGTATGATAGGCCTACATATAGTTTTACAGGCAGTTACCCTGTGTGTTGTTTTTCAAACTTCCTGTGTCTGTGGCTTGGTGTCTGTCATTAATTTGGGGGAGAATTCTTAGTCTTTATTGCTTCAGCTATTTCTTCTGTTCCTTCCTTTTTCTTCTGGTGCTCTCATTATGCTTATGTTATACCTTTTGTAGTTGTCCCACAGCTCTTGGTTATTCTTTCAGTCTTTTTTCTTTTTTTAGTTTTGGAGATTTCTATTGAAAGATCCTTAAGCTTAGGAACTTATTCCTTAGTTGTGTCCAGTTTACTAATGAATTCACCAAAGGCATTTTTCATTTCTCTTATGGTATTTTTCATTTCTAGCACCTCTTTTTTGATTCTTTGTTAGAATTCTCATCTCTTTGCTTTCAGTGCTTATCTGTGTTCACCTGTGGTCTACTTTTCCCATTAACACTATTAGCATAGCCACATAGTTTTATGTTAAAGTTAATTTTTATTTTTATTTTTCATGGTGGTGGGGATGGAACCTAGAGCCTCACAGTGCTATACAAGCACTCTTCGCTGAACAACATTCTTAGTTGTTTCAAATTTCCAGTCTGATAATTCTAATGTTTCTGCCATATCTGAATTTGGTTCTGATGCTTGCTCTGTGTCTTCAAACTCTATTTTTTGCCCTTTAGTTTGYCTTGTAATTTTGTTTTTTGATGGAAAACTGGCATAATGTACAAGATGAAAGGAATTCCGGTAAACAAGAGTTTAGAGGTGTGGTAATAAGGTGTGTGGGGAGGGTATGCATTCTGTTACTGTCATTAGGTCTCAGTCTTTGAGTGTATATACCCCTTGGCTTTGAACTTTGCTAGTTTTCTTGGTTTTTCCTAGTAAGCTGGAGTTGTTTTTTTTCTCCCTCCTTCCAGGTAGGTTAGGCTTTGATAAAACCCCAACAGGTTAGGATCTGGTAAAATAATTATTGTTGAGGATGGGCTTTCTTAAGTACACAATAAAGGGGTAAGTTCTGGGGATTGATATTGGCCAAATTATATAGTATGCATGTACGAATATGTAAGAACAAATCCCACCATTATGTTCGACTGTAATGTACCAATAAAAAAAATTGAGGGAAAATAATAATTCACTCTAAGAACCTGGTGAACTCCTCTGGGTAAAATTTGCTAAAGTGTAGAGACCCATCTATGAATTAATTTCTCACATTGACTTTATTGTGTAAAGTAAGACAGTAAGATAGCCTTGTAAAACTTGTGAGCTATGGTTTTTAAAGCAGTGTCATCTTGGTTGATTTTATGCAAATTTAAACTGAAGCAGAGATTTATTTGATTGATATTCAGATATTTAGTGTAGTAGTGATTTCTGTTTTTGTGTCTTTCTCTTTAGTACTTGGACCATGAGACTGTTTCAGCCACATTCATCGACAGCAGTGGGCAATTTGTTTTATCTCAGGCTACAGGCATTAGCCGAAATCCCTACTGTGGCTATGAACACCAGACTCTCTCCCGTCAGGAACGTTTGGAGGAGGACTCCTTGCTGGCCGCCTTACAGGGGCAGGTACCTGATGTGGGCTTAGTCCCCTTTGTGAAGAGCACCGACCCTTCTTCTAGCTACTTTGTCATCTTGAACTCCGCAGCCTTCTTCAGGGTGGGAAGCCAACTGGAGGTACTGGTTCATGTGCAGGATTTTCAAAGAAAACCCAAGAAGTATGGTGGAGACTACTTGCAGGCCAAAATCCACTCCCCCAAGCTGCAGGCAGGGGCTGTGGGCAAAGTAGTAGACTATAAGAATGGGTTTTATAAGGTTTTTTTTACTTTGCTCTGGCCAGGCAAAGTTAAAGTGTCCATATCTCTGGTTCACCCAAGTGAAGGGATCCGAGTTCTTCAGCACCTACAGGAAGAAAAGCCAGACAGAGTCTATTTCAAGAGCCTGTTCCGTTCAGGAAGGATTTCTGAAACCACTGAGTGCAATGTGTGTCTTCCTGGGAGTCTGCCCTTGTGTAACTTTACAGATCTCTACACTGGAGAGCCTTGGTTCTGCTTCAAACCAAAGAAACTCCCTTGCAGCAGCAGAATTAATCATTTCAAAGGTGGATATTTGAAGGGTCTTCTAACTCCTACAGAGAGTGCTTTCTTCCAGAGGTATGTGCTCCTTGGTAATTTAAGAGTTCTTTTCTACTGCCCTAGTCACATTTAGGAGATTTTGTTGTTTTGAGCATATATTCCTTATCTCGCTGAGCTTGACCCAATTCAGAAGTAGTGAAGAAGAAAAATACAAATTTGTATTTATTTATTTATTTAGTCATTCATTCATTTGTTTTTTTTTATTTTGGGGTACAGGGGATTGAACCCAGAGATGTTTAACCACTGAGCCACATCCCCAGCYCTGTTTTATACTTTATTTAGAGATAGTTGCTTAGAGGCTTATTAAGTTGCTGAGGTTGGCTTTGAACTCATGATCCTCYTACCTCAGTCTTTTAAGCCACTGGGATTATAGGCATATGCCACCATGCTGGCACAAATTTGTATTTGTAATTAGTATGCCCTACTACCCCAGCACTAGGGATTGATCCCAGGGCCTTGCACATACTAGACAAGCACTCTACCACTGATCTGCACTCACAGCCCTTTTTACTTGGTTTTGAAACAGGGTTTCACTAAGTTGCCCAGACTAGGCTTGAACCTGCAATCCATCTGCCTCAACCTCCCAAGTAGTTGGGATTTTATAGGCATGTGCTACAATACCTGGTTTAATTAGTATTTTAATTAGTTCTTCTCCAAGCTCAAATTAATCTTTTATTCTTGAATTGTTGGTCTTTCCCTGATGTATTTTACTTAGAACTACACATCATATTAGTGACTATAGAGACAAGTTCACTTATTCACAGAACAGATTTTCTGAGAACAGGGCTTCTAGKGGTATCTAGTGGATAGGTTATTGTTTTAGCTTTCTTTTGTCAAACTAAAAACAGCTTTTAAAAAGTGACATAATATTAGTTTTCAACAAACATTTGTTGAATAGAAAAGTATATATATGGCAAAATTACTGGGTTACAAGGCATACCACAGCAAACCATGTATTTTTTAAGTTAGCAGTCATTGAAATTTATTGCACTATTTTGTTCAAGTTCCTCTTTTGAATGTAAAGCATAAAAAATTAGCACAATAGTCAATGTGTGGAGTAATGGGCAGAATTAAATGTATGGAAACAGTAAAAATTGTAATTTATGTTTTCTTTAACRTTCCTTAGATTTCTGAATAAACGAACATTCCTAATAACTTCTAGTATTCTCCTGCATAGTAGAATAACTATGATTGACAACAATTAATTGAATATTTGAAAATAACTTGCAGAGAGGATTTTGAATGTTTCTAACACAAAATCTGAGATGACATGCCCTTTACTCTGATCTGATCATTACATATTGCATACATGTATTGAAAAGTCACAGTGTACTCTGTATGTATGTACAATTGATACGTGTCAGTTAAAAATTWAAAAAAATGTAAAAAAGTAACATGTTATAAATTATTTGATAGAAAGTATAACTGTTTTTAACTTTTTAATGAAGTCTATACTTTTTAAACTTTGCCTGGTAGAGAGTTATTTTTGTTTAATACGTCTGGGCATCCCCCAGATTGCATATTTTATGTCTTCTCTACATGGTGGAGGAAAAGTTGTTGTCATAAAGTGTGGTCTGTTGGAGCTCCTGAAATCAAACCCTCCGCTTCCATTGAAGTTTGCTATAGGTCCTGGCAGTCTAAGTCTAGTGGAGTCTTGCTATGCATACACGGGGCCAGCAGAGGGAGCCCGACTTAACTATATTTGCTGTACTGTTCTTGAGAAGACTAGGTATAGCTTAGCACCGAGTAAAAATGACACACACTCATACACATACACACACACACACACACACACACACACATATCCTAAAGAAAGGAAAAAACAATAAAAAAAAACAGAAGTTTTATTTTTAATCCTACATTCAGATCTCAGACACGTTATTTATCAATGACTGTTATCAGATTATTTCATTTCTGTGCACTGTTTTGGGCCTATATGTGAAGACTACCCACCCATCCCTTTTAGAGTTGTGTTGTCAGTCCACTTGGTGGCTTAGCAAAAAGAAAGAAGCACACTTTATAATTACTCAATTTCTGTGTGGAAAATAGTGTGTGGGGGGGAAAGCTAGAGAATTAGTGATAATCTTTAAAATATTCCTGATACTAAGTTTTACAATCAAAAGCACCTGTTGTTAATCTAGAAGAATAATGTCTTTGTTCCTGCATTTATTTGCATGTCCTGGGTGAGGCTGGCTGATGGCCTATTGTAGAATCATTACAAAATTCTCCTTATCTGGAGGTTTACTGAGAAAACAAGGTTTGAGGTRGCATACATCTTTGGAAACCAAACATTTGCAGAGTCCTGATAATTAATATTCCTATCTTTTCCTGTGCTAAAGTTCTGCAATATTACATCAGACTGTCTAAAAAGAAAAAGATTGAAATTGATCTTTGGAGAAATTTTAGGGTGTGCTATTTGAGCTTATTTGGTCTGAATATGTTGAAATAATACCTTATGTACCTCTTTTCCTTGGTGGCTTCTAACCTTGCTTAAGTTAGAAAGAATTAAGAAGGTTATTTTTGGTATTTGACACCCTAAGTAACAGGTGGACAGTTAAGTCAATGTAATCTTTGTTCTTTACCTTTAAGGGGAAAAAAATGTGTTTGTCTTGGAAAGATAAAAGTACTTTCCTTAAAAGATCCTGTTAATGTAAGGGGAAGGCCGTTTGAAAGAATGAGCTTATCACCTGAAAAGTTTCCCTTTTAATTTAGCATGATTTTTATTTTTTTCTAACTTTGTGTTAAAAAAATTCATGTCTTTAGAAACATTTTAAGATTAATAACAGTGAACACCCATATTGCTTATTCCTAGAGTCACCAATGTTAATGTTTTGCTGCATTTGCTTTGTCTTTCTGTGTGTGTGTGTGTGTGTGTGTGTGTGTGTGTGTGTGTGTGTAATTTTTGCCCCTGGATCGTTTGAGAATAAATTAGTCATCATGGAACTGTACCCATAAATATGAATCTAAAAATGTGGACTTTAATGTATCACCATAACACAGTCATCATAAGGGAGACTTGTATGATTGATACAATATTATTATCTAATATTCAATCCATATTCAGGTTTTCCCAGTCATCCTAGTAATATCCTTTGTAGTCATCTATTTGAGCTAATCTAATCTATGATCACACAGTGTATTTATTTATCTCTTTAATCCAGGAGATCTGTTTAGTCTATTTTGTTTTTTATGACATGGTAGTTTAAATATTGTTGTTTTGTAGAATGTCCTTTACTTTGGATTTGTTTTATTGTTTCAACATGACTAGATTCAGGTTAAATATTTTTTTGCAGGAAAACTATAGAGGAAATTTTCCTACAGATATTTTTATGGGAAAATTATGTAACTGTCATATGATAATACTCAAAGCTTATGAAAGTAGTTTATTTGGACTCTTTTAAAAGTCATGTTCTCCTTAAGTATCACTTATCTCTAATGAATCCAGCCCTGTATACATTCTTCATTACTTGGGGTTTTTTTTGTCTTTTTTTCTCATTAGAATGTCAGTCCATTAAGAAAGAGATTGTGTGTGTGTGTGTGTGTGTGTGTGTGTGTGTTTACTATGATAGCTCCTGGCATCTAGGACAGTGCCTGGCACATAGTAGAAGCTTGAAAATTATTTGTTGAATGAACAAACACATCTATTCTGAAATTGATGAAACAATTATAAAAAAAAACAATGAACGTTCCTACATCAAGAGTTTAGAAATTTATTTCATTTTTTTTATTTGTTTTTGATCTAAGTATAATAGACTTGATTTTTGTGGCTCAGTATCTACAATAACTGTATTGKTTTTTAGTATTCTGATATTCACTCTTTCTCAGTTTTTCATGCAGCCATTCAAAAAAAGTCTGAGCATGGATTCTAGCCTCAGCTAAGTGCAGAAGTCACAAGGGTGAATGAGGCGCCATTCACGTCTTTGAGGAATATGTATTTTAGTAAGGGTGACAGGCATTCGTGAGTCATAGTAATGATGAATAAAGTACTGCATCAGTACATATCTGGGGGCAAGTGTCCTCAGTGGGACTCATTTCAGATCTGGCAAAGCCAAAGGAATCTGACATGCTACAGAGACACACAGCCTGATAACTAGGTAATTAATTACCAATTAGACATTCTTGTTAGCGTGAGCTATTCTGAGTACCAGAATAATAAGTAATGTAAGCCAGAACTTGTCATTTTGGATTTTGCATTCTTAGGACTGGCCAAGAATAAATAGTGTGGTGAAAACTTACTACATTAACTTCCTCCTCAGTTTATATACACATATAACGTACTTATTACAAAAGACCTGGTTTATTCATATTGTTGGTTAACAATTACATTTTACCATAATAAGGCACTGTGAAATCATATCCATTTTTTGCTATGTGCAGATAAAGATGCATACCCGAAAATAAATGCCCCTGAATCTAAGCTTGTGCTTTTTTATTCCTTTTAAAGTGGTGTCAATATCAAAATGCCAATCAATTCCAGTGGACCTGATTGGGTGACTGTGGTTCCCAGGAGGATAAAAGGTAAAAAAAAAAAAAARGAGTTTGATGATTTATTGTTTTTCTTGCTAAATGGGTTGAAGCTCTGTCATTTCAATGATGTTATAAATTTCTTTTGTCACTTTAACGTGCCTGGTTACTTCTGGTACAACTGAAAATATTAAAAACTGATTTTAAAAACATTAGCTAAATCTTATGTGATTAATTCTGGGTTTTTCTATTTATGTTTATATGAAAATTATATTTTCTCATCATCCCTTCCCTTCTATTTATCTTATCAAGAGCCCATAGAGCTATATTGTTCAGTATAGTAGCTACTAACTTCATGAAGCTATGTAAGTTTAAATTAATTAAAATTAAATAAACATTCAGTTCTTTAGTCACACATACTTGAGAGTGATCATGTTTTGACAGCATTTAATATAGAATCTATACACGATTACAAAAAGTTCCATTGGGTATTGTTATACTAGAGATACTCAAGGAATGTGTGTAAAATTGGCTTGCAATTTTTTATTGGTTCTTTTTAGCTATAGCTGGCAACAGAATTTATTTAGACATAATTATAAAAGAATGGAATATAATTTGTTCTAATTTAGCCCCAGTACTTCCTGTTCCCTTCTGTTTCTCCTACCTCCTGTTCCCTTTCCTCTACTCTACTGATCTTTCTACTATTTACTTTTTTAAAAAATTTATGTCTTGTGGGTATACTTGATGGTGAGATTCACTGTGGTATATTCATGTATGTACATAGAAAAGTTAGGTCAAATTCATTCTAGTGACTTTCCCTTTATTCCCTTTTGTCTACTCCACTAATCTTTCTTCTATTCTTTTTTTTTTTCTATCCCCCATCTCCTTATTTTGGATTAGCTTCCACATATCAGAGAAAACATTTGGTGTTTGACTTTTGGGGTCTGGCTTATTTCACTTAGATTGATAGTCTCCAGTTCATCCATTTAYCGGTAAATTTGTGTTTAACTTTCCAGGTCTTTCTGATGCATTGATGTAGGATATTAATAGTAAAAGGATAAAATTCAGAGGAATGTGTTATGATTTTGCAGAATAGATATAGCTAGTTATAATGACTTTTAGAAAAGATGAACATTATTAAGGAGATTTACACAGATGGTGGGCAAGATCCTTTTAGTTGTTGAAAACATATTAATATTATCCCACACAGTAGATGTAAAGCCTTTTGCCTTAGGGGTGAGGTATATAATATACATGGACCAAGCATAATGGGCAGTTAGCCATACCTTGTGCGGTTGTKTGGAATTAATGAAAAGCAAGGACCACCTCAGTGGGGCAGCCTGAATTCTGCTGTTCGTACAGCTTTGTTTCCATGCATAATCAAACCCAGTGCAGCCAGATCTGTAGATTTTTTTTTCACAAAACCCCAGAAATGTTAATTTTAAAAATGTTGTATTTCCAGATCTTACAGCATTAGCATCCAATTCAGAACTCTCAAAATAGCATGGGGGCTAAATAAAATTAGTCTGTGGCGGTGATGCAGGCAGGGAACTGCCGGTTGTCTCTCTAGTCTCCACTGTTGTGTGTCATAAGAAATCTCAGTCTTTTCCTAACGAAGAGCTACATTTGATTTACTTGAACCAGATGGATCACTAGTTTTAGAAGGTACATATGAGAAACATCATTAATAGAAATACTTATCAATCTTGATCTCAGCCCATGGCCAAGATGTCAGTAGACATGATGCCTCTCAACACTCCCATRTTTGACATCCTCAGGAGGCCCTGTCCCAACACCAAATTTACTCTTCTTTTCCACAGCCCTGTCTGGCTTGCCCACCTTTGATGTCTCAGGTATCTTTGGAATGGTTGGTGGAAGGAGCTTTTATGTTTACCTCCACCTGACAGATCTTAAAAATCAGCCAGGAAGTGGTGTGGTATGTGGTGTACTATTCTACTTAGAGGGAAGACAGACTCTGTAACTAGTGAGGCTTTTGATGGATTTTTAGAGGAATAAAGTAACCCTAAATCAGTCGGAGCAGAGTAGGCTGGCTTTTATTGAGAAAAGCATCTTGTACCAGATAGGTAATTAGAAAGAAAGAGAAGGCCAGGTGCTTTGCTTTATGTAGGATCAAAGGAACTCAGCTTAGCAGTACTTCATTGAAATTCACCTTAGTGACCCACAGAGGGCACTCAAAGACCTTAAATAAGAGTTCATATTTTTCCTCCTATGCCAACATTTTGTTTCTGCTTCAATTTTCACCCCTTAATTTTAGCACCCATTAGCTTTTATCATTAGTGGTTATTTCTGTGGCAATCTAGTGATAACAATCTAATAATGGTATCACTCATTCCTTCAACACTTGTAGCTGAAATTCTTTTGTAAATTCTTTATTTATATCAGTATGAACTCATCATAATTTCATATTTGAGTTATAATCCAGCTTCATCGCTTTCAAATTGTTACAGATTTTAAACCTTGTCATTGGAATTGTTCCAGGAATTTTCTCTACCTTTGACATGTTCTCATTCARTGGAGCACTTTCTTACTCTCTAGCACCACCAGTAACTCTAGCCTCCTTTTTTTTTTTCTTTTTTTCCCTATCCCTGGATGTGTTCATCATCTTTACACCTTTATCATTTCACTTACAAAACCTATATTTTAAGAGTTTGCTCTCTATGAAATTTTATTATTTTTGATTTAGCTAATTAACTTYCTATAAGGTAAAATTATTCCAACATTCCTATTTTGAGTCTAGTGGATTTCTTGAGACTGCTTAATGCATAGATATAATTGTAGTCAAGAACAAAGAAAGAGTCTTTAATAAGAGTAGGCTAGCTTATCAAGGCCTGTTTTGTTTCTAACAGGCTTTTCCAGTGTCATAATTACTGTTGAACTTTCATTAGCATTGTACTGTAGTCCCCAGACTRTCATAACTAAAAGACTTGGCAACCTTGATGGATACCAACCTCATCAGAAACTTGAGYTCATGTTTTTTAGGGGGTGAGGGTCGGGGTGGGGGTAGGGGATGCTTACCTATTCTACTGAGRTATAATACCCAAACTTTCCCCCTTAATTCACATTGTATCCCTCTTGTTCAGGTCTTTCTAGATGGTTTAGGAAAATTTATCTTACTGCCTCCCCCCCTCATTTGTCCTATTTTTTGGCCCAGATAGCCTCCTTATGGTTAACAATGGCATGGGATGACACCCTCTGGAGGAAAATRTCAGCTATGGGCTTTAAAGAGAAGCCAGGCCATTTTAGAGATGACTAGACATTATTTGCAAATCAAAGATAAACCTGATTTTGTACAAATATCTTCATATCTGCCTTTACAACCACCTTGGCGTCAACATTTCCTCTTACCAGCAGTATTCAATATAACTAACCACTAAATTGAGTAATAAATCTTTATTTTTATTTAATCTTATTCCAAATTAATATCATATTAGGGGTTATATTATCAGTTTAAGATACTTTCATATCTTAGTTACCTTATGTGAAAATGCATTGAATTTAACAACCTCTGACCCCTTGAAATCGGTCAGGTAATATTTTTGAAACAACTGACCATAAGGGGGCAGCACAGGCATGTACATTTCACCTTAAAAAATACAGTTCTTAAAGAATGGATGTCRGATTCAGTAATTGATTTGCTTTGCTTGATTTAACTCTGGTAGTAATTGTAATTGAAATGTTAATTTTTCCTGTGTGATATATACATTTCTTTTTAACATGTATTTGACAGAAAAATAGTCAAATTACCAAATTAAAAATTTAASTTCAAAACCACTTTTAATTTTCTCTAGTAAATGTTTTCTGTCGACCTGGGTGTCTTCACTGTAGCTCTCTAGCTCTGCCATTTTGATGTACTGATGAAACGAGGGAGCTTGGGCAAGGTGTAGTTATATGGTAAAGCCACCCTTGACAACTTGTTGAAAGATTCTTTGATTTTTTGTTTTTGAGATGGGGTCTTTTTCTGGTATCCAGGCTATCCTTGAACTCCTGGCCTCAGGATCCTCCTGCCTTAACCTCCTGAGTAGSTGGGGGACTAGAGGTACTATCTGACTTGAGAATTTTTTTTAATAAGTTGAATAAATATTTATTCATCACCCTTCCATTGTTCTTTGTTAATAATATTTACCAAAGTAAAGCTTTTGAAGCACKTTTACTTTTCATTTGGGCCCTGAACCTATAAAGAATTAGCAGATAGCCAAAAGGAAAAATGATTAGATCTGCACTCTGTTAAATAGGGCATTTTCTTTGGAGGATATAAAAAATCCAAAATAATTTTGAGTAACGTGGATAATATCAAGAACTCAGATAAACTGAAAATAGTCACAATTAGGGGACTTACTTAAATTTCTGATTGGTGTAAACATTTGCATTTCAAATTGTGGTTTAACAGATCACTACACTGTAAAATGATTGGAATATGATCAAGGTTGAACTTTGGGTTATGTAAGGAAGTGACATAAAATGATTGGTGGTTTCTTGAAGATTAGAGATTTGAATAATTGTTAGAAATATAAATATATGTACCTTCAAGAAAAAAGCTGAAAGAAATGACTGACATCTACTGATACCTATTTCTGAGAAGTACCTCCTGCACAGTGGTTAAGAACCTGGGCTTTGGGGCCCACCTGCTCAGGTCTGGTTCCGACTTCATCATTACTAGCTCAGCTCTGGGACATTGGTCAAGTTGCTTAATTATTCTGAAAGGCAGGGGATAGTAACAGTACCTTTTTTAAAGAATTATTGTGAGCTTCATGTGAGATATTAGGTTTAATTGCTCAGAATAGTGTCTAATGCAGAGTAAACTGCAAGAAATTTAGCTATCACTATCTGTTTTGACRCATGCAAAGCATTTGTTTCCATGGAGGCATTTTTCCAATGGAGGTGTTAGGGCAGATAGAGGTTGACTCTCCCTCTAAAAGGTAGATGGTGATTGTGTTGTGCTTTGTAGCTAGGCTACAAGGTGAGTACACTTTGTGTTGCTTTTTTATGCCTRAAGACCTTATGAACCTTTTATATTGTGGAGAATAATCCTTTATATGTCATTTGTCTCAATGTAGTCAATGAATTTAGGACCCACAGATTAAAACTTTCCTTTTAATGAACCAAGAAACATTGGACCAATATTACTATACATATATAAAATATTAAATTCTTACTTGCCTCACAGGTATTTGGATAAAAAATAGTTATGCTTTTTCTGGGACATTGCTGGACATGTGCTTATATCTACACATTTCTTTGGTGTTTGCCTTCCTTTATTTTTTGGCTTTGATAAAAACATGCATACTCAAAGGAATGCTCAATGTCCCCCTTTCCCCTGATGTCCCTCTACTCCCATACCAATTTCACATCTTCTCACTTCTGTGCAAAGGAGAACCTTTCTGTATGAAGGGGAAAGTCTGGGATTTCTTTGAGATATGATAACAGGAAATGTTGCCCAAATGCTAGCAGTCTAACAAATATATAGGCATTATTATGTTTCCTGCAACATTTTTCATCTATTACTAGAGGAAAATTAAAATATATATATGTGTGTGTGTGTGTGTGTGTGTGTGTGTGTGTATTTGTTTGTTTGTTTGTTTGTTTATTTATTTATTTATTTTCCCTTTTTCTAACTAACAATCTAGAAGTACCTGAAGGCTCAGAAACTTTTCCTTCTGGGTATTATTACAAAGACCAGTGGAAGCCCAGAAGATTTAAGATGCGCCATTTTAATGACCCTGACAACATTACAGAATGCTTACAAAGAAAAATGGTGTATTTATTTGGTGACTCGACAATCAGGCAATGGTTTGATTACCTCACTACATTTGTTCCAGGTTGGTACTTTGCTTTTTGTTTCATAACTATATCCTAGAGGGATGAAATCTGGGTTATGTAAGAAAGTGACATAAAATTGAAATACGTAGACTCACTCTAACTCTGAAGAAAGGCATCAGGTGAAGAAGCAATTTCTCTGTAGGATTAAAGAGGTATCCTGATTCTGGAGAGRTATGTGCAATTTCTGATCAATCCAGAAAGATTTGTCCACTGATTATCTGTTTGATCACCCTGGACAAGTCAYTTACTCCTCAGGGCTTTCTTTCTCCATGTGTGAGATGAGACAGCAGGATCATGTCACTTTACAGCTGTCTTTTACTTCTAATATTCGGGATTATAACATAGAGGTAGACATTTCCAGTTGTTTCTCTTCTAGTTGTTCGGTCCAACCTCAAATTTATAGTAGATTTAACTGGAAGGAAATTTACTGTGGTTCATTTTACTGCATTCATGTAGCAAAACCATCCTTTGGGCCTACCACTGGGGGCACTCTGAGRTAGAGCTGGCTCCTCTGGAGGGAATGTGGGCAAGTCCCAGTGTGGTTAGCTTCTTGTTTCTCTGGGGCTACTCTCCAGACTCAGAACAAAACCCACCACTTATTCACAATGGTGTTCTCTTATTTCTGGAAGGAATATTGATGGGATGAGGAAGGATGGATCCTGGTAGTAAGAATAAAGACTCTGCTTACAATTCAGAAAGTTCTGTGGGAACTGGTTTTTTTGTTTTGTTTTGTTTTGGATGATTATATATGGGAAAGGCTTTTCATAAAGTAAATCCTCAATGTTTGTTATGAGTTGCTGCTTGTGGTGTGTTTCATTCATTTTCCTATTTATTACAACAGCTTACTTTCAAATTTAATATGTAGAAGGATAGGAAGAAGTAGATATTACCCCAAAAGGAGAAAAGTGAATTGTAGTTTTCACTCGTTTTTTTTTTATTGAAACAGATATAGTTGAGTTTTTGTTGGTAAAACAAATTAAAAATCAGAAGGGAAATTATTTGTATAGCACAGTGCTAAGCATGATTTGATACTGATCAGACTGGGCCTTTCAGATACCTATAGTTTCTTCTTAATTTCTAACATCCTAACTTGGTGTCTCCTTTAGTTGCAATGATCATATAGACTGTTTTGGTTGTTTTCCACAGACCCTTTATAGACAAATTTTCATCCAATAAAAATAAAGCCTCAGGCTGGGATTGTGGCTCAGTGGTACAGCGCTTGCCTAGCATATGTGAGTCACTGGGTTAGATCCCCAGCACCACATTAAACAAACAAACAAAAACCAACAATAACAACAACAAAACTAAACAAAATAAAGGTATTGTGTCCATCTACAATTAAAAATATTTAAATAAATAAGAAAGAAAGAAAGCCTTGTGTGGGTGCTTGATCTTGATCAAAAGCAAACAGAAGCTTGAGCTTTTATTTGGTTTAAGTAGGGTTGGGTGCTAAATAGTGATGAATCTGGTAGGAAAATCTAATAGAGAAACCTTGGGTTGTAGGCAGAAAAAAGTGAAACCTGCTTGAACCCTTATAAGGAATATAGGACAATTACAGTCCGATGCTATCTCTTCACAATTGACTGTAAACTCCCTCAGGGCAAGGGCTGTGACACCCCTCCAAGCYTTGCTGGAAATGAGCCCTGAATGCTTAGGGAATGCTGATGGAATTGTGTTGCCAATATTTGTTCATTCTATTCCCTGTAAGGCACTTTGGGAATGTTAAAGGATATGAGCTCCCCWTTCCTCATGGGGGCATATATCAAGTGATCAAGTACAGAGTTTTTAGGAATAAAAAGGGATCCTATGGATTCCTTGGATCTCCAGAATATTTCAGAGAAATAGACCTTGAAACACAACTTAGATAAAGAGGGGGGGGTGGGGGGGGCAGAAGGGAATTCTAAATTACACTGCTGCCTTTGTCATTTCTCAGACCAGAAAAAATTCTGTAGGGTATTAACTGTGATTTTTTTTTCAACCATGGGGCAAAACTGAAAGTCAAAAGAAACCAGAGTTGCTTCTTTCTTTTYACTTATTGCAAAAAGAGGAACTTTCTACCCTCCCCCCAGAATTACAACTTAGATTATTTTATTTTTTTAAAAAAAGTTTATTTTTATCCAGGTGTGATGGCATACACCTCTAATCCCAGCTGCTTGGAAGGCTAGGATTAGGTGTATGCCACCTGCTTTGGGAGGCTAAGGTAGAAGGTTTCAAATTCAAGGCCAGCCTGGGCAAGTTAGCCAGACCTTGTCTCAAAAAATAAAAAGAGCTGGGAATGTAGCTCAGTGGTGGAGGACTCCTGAGTTCAATCCCCAGTACTTGCAAAATGTGGGAGGGGAAAAAAGCTTATAATTGTGTATATTTTGGGGGTACAATGTGATATTTTGATATATATACATTTTAGAATGATTATATCGATTAACATATCTATCACAAATGCATTTATTTGTAATAAGAACATTTAAAATCTACTTTCAGCCATTTTGAAATGTACAATACATTATTAACTACAGTTACTATGCTGTATAGATCCCTAAAACTTATTACTCCTGTCTAACTGAAACTATGTACCCTTTGAGTATCTTCTCATTCCCTCTACCCCCACCAAACCCCGCCTCTGGTGAGTTTCTGTATTCTACTGTAAGTGTGAGACTTTTTAAGATTCCACATATAAGTGAGATCATGCATATCTGTCTTTCTGTGCTTGGCTTATTTCACTTAGCATAATGTCCTCCAGGTTGATCCATATTGTTGCAAATGATAGAATTTCTCAAGAGAATTATTTGATTACTAATTGTGCTCATAAAACAGAAGTTACAGCCCTTGTCCTGGAAGATATAATATTTACCTATTAGAAGCATAAAGTGTAAATGCCAATTTGACTTTTRAATATTCAACTAGTGGTGCAAACAGCAAGAGTTTTTGGCCTAAAGTTAAACAGGTATGTTGTTTTTGAGGCATATTTATAGATGTAGAATCTTTCACTGATGGCTTTTCTTATAACATCACATTTGTGGAGTGTTTTGAATAATTAATACGTCAGAATAAAGGCCGATTGATTCAAAGGTGGGCAGGGAACAGTGAAATAGGTATTCCTTTAATATTTCTATTGTATGTTTTTGCTGGACTTTTATTTTAAAAGCTGTTCTTTGAAGCTACTTGGTAAAGAATATTCATATATACATGCATAGCTTGAATGTGTTTATGAATTTGAGTTTTCCTTGTTTCAGACTTAGTGGAGTTTCAAATGGGTAGTCCCAAGAATGTGGGTCCCTTCCTTGCAGTGGATCAGAAGCACAACATCTTGCTCAAATACCGTTGCCATGGTCCACCCATCCGCTTCACGACTGTCTTTAGCAATGAGCTCCATTATGTGGCAAATGAACTGAATGGAATCGTGGGAGGGAGGAACACAGTGATTGCCATATCTTTGTGGTCTCACTTCAGCACCTACCCCTTGGAAGTGTATATCCGTCGGCTCAGGAACATCCGTCGGTCAGTGGTCCAGCTCCTGGATCGAAGCCCTAGGACTGTGGTGGTCATCCGGACAGCCAATGTCCAGGAACTGGGGCCYGAAGTGAGCCTCTTCAACAGTGACTGGTACAACTTTCAACTGGACACCATCCTTCGGAGGATGTTCTCAGGGGTCGGAGTATATCTCGTTGATGCCTGGGAGATGACCCTGGCCCATTATCTACCCCACAAGCTGCACCCAGATGAGGTTATTGTGAAGAACCAGCTGGACATGTTTTTATCTTTTGTGTGCCCCTTGGAGACCTAGGTTGCCCTGGAGGGGACTAGAGGAATAACATCTGTGATCTCCCCAATTGACTTCCAGTGCATAAAGTTTGTCGGTGGCCCCATTATGAGATGGCTACCATCAATATATATAAAACTTCAAAAAATGCCGTACTTTATATAATGACCTGTGAGGACCTTGGAAAACGCAGGCTACATTTATATCTACCTATAGGATTTTTTCCAATCTTGAATTAACCATGGTAGAATCCTTATTAACAGCATCTACACACTATATTGCCCTTGTAACCAAAGATGCTAATGAGTTTTTTTGAYCTAGCTTCTTCTGGGACTGGAGACTACTATGTTAAAGCATGTGAGAAATGTTTTGATGTAAATGGAAGGGACAAATTTGGTTGTCAGTGGAAGTGTTTGTGGCTTATTTGGTAAAGGAAATTGAATATATCTGCATGAATAGTCCAAGTGGTCCTTCTTTAGGGGGCGAATTAAAGAGGGCTTATACTTATAGGCTCCTGTGAACATACTGAAGACTGCAGTGACCCAGGAGTTTCTCTTAATCTACCTTTTCTGAATTACTTGAAAAGGCTAATGTGCTTGGTCAGAATTTTATAGTATGGGATATTAATAATTTCCCACTTTTATCTAGGAAAGAAGTGAAGGGGAAATATGAAAGCAGTATGGATAAAATCTGTGCTTTGAATTGATATTTGCATTGGATGATTGTTTCTTATTTGGATCAGCTAAATTTTTGTGTGATGAATATTTATTCTAAAACAACCACTTTTGGAACTGAAAGGGGGAAATCTATGCCCAGAAGTTTATTTTTATGTTCTAAAGTTTGAGGGGTTTTAAGAATTGACTTTTATGTAAAGAATGCTATTTATTATTATAAAGATGTAGAAGTTTTTTTCTGCCAATTTCAAGTGTTTCCTTTTTGGTTATTTTGAACTACATACCAAAATTAGAAGTTAGAATCCAATTAGATATTAATAAAATCAGAAATTAAAATTCATGACAGGTATTCCTTATTTAGGCATATGTATACACATTCTCTCCCATTCTCAATTGTYAATTTTCTTTGACTTTATCTTACGTTTTTCTAAAAAWTTTTTTTTAGTTGTAGATGGACACAGTACATTTATTTTATTTATTTTTATGTGGTGCTGAGGATGGAACCCAGTGACTCACACATGCCAGTCGAACACTCTACCACTGARCCACAACCCCAGCCCCATTTTACTAGTTTTAAAGAATTGAAGTTTATTTGGGGTCATTTACTAAGTACTGTCCCATGTCTAATTTTAGTTGTCATTAGGTAGACACATGAGGAAACATAGGTCGTTTTAGAGATGACGATGGATGCTTAAAGCATAAGAAGTACGCACACTTAGAAGAATGAGTCAAATAATTTGAGTTTTTAACTTAGTGTCTCAGATCTTCCTTTCCTTTTCTTCTAAAGATCATCGTTTATAATACATTTTACGGGTAAAGAGCATTTTTGTTTTCTGAGCCTGAAGAGGACCAAAGGAGTTAAATTAATTTTAATGGACCTTAAGCTTGTTATATTTGATAAAATTTCAGAATTGGGGTCTGTGCTTCCAGGAATTGGGGAATTAATGTTTGTGACAAGAGGCCAGTGATTCTGATGCAGCAGTAGGGTTCTGCACATGAAGAAACACACAGAAGGGGAAGAGGGAAGGCGGAACCAGGAAAGTAACACTGCTTGTCTACTATTTCAAGGGCTTCCCGACAACTTACTTAATTCTAATCATGATCCAATAGTGTAGGTGGTATTAGCTCCATTTTATAGATGAAGAACTTGAAATTAGATTTGAATTAAGGTATATGGGAGACCAGCTTCTTACAATTTTTTAAAGAAGTTTTATTTTTATTTTTTTGGTACTGGGGATTGCCCTCAAGGGTGCTTAACCACTGAGCCACATCCCCAGGCTCCCCCCCACCAACTTTTAAAATTTTATTTAGAGACAGCATCTCATCGAGTTGCCCAGGGCCTCACTAAGTTGCTGAGGCTGGCTTTGAACTCCAGATCCTCCTGGCTCAGCCTCCTAAGTTCCTTGGGGTGGGGGATTACTGGTACTATGCCTGGCAGAAGTTTTCTTTTTTGATAACTTTTTGGCATTTTCTCTAGAAGAACTGCTGGAGCAGGCTGAGGAGTCACTTTTTCAGGGCAATTTCATGGAGAAAGCAAACACTGTATCTCCAAGGGTTTGGAGTGAGGCTACTGCAACTGATTTTCTTGTGACCTTGTCCAGTTTTTAATTACTTTTAAATTTGGTTATATATTTTATTTACTTACATATTTTAATTACTTTTTAATTTGGTTAAAGATTTGATGACACAGTTTCTTGAGGTAGTTTCAGTCACTTTCATTCCTCTTTTGTCTTTCTGCACTGTGTGTCAACTTTGATAGAGATTGAAATATTACATAAACCTTTCTTAAAACAATTAGACATAGGTCATGTGTCTCTAATCTGAAAATGTGAAACCCAAAATTCTCCACAAACCAAAACATTTTTGAGCACCCGACATGATACCACAAGTGAAAAATTATACACTTGACCTCATATGATAGTCAAAAAAGATGTACCAAAAAAGTTACATAAAATTACCTTTAGGGCAACATGTGTAAACTGTATGTGAAACAAAGTTCATGTTTAGACTTGGATCATGTCACTGGGCTATCTCATATAAATATGCAGATGATCAAAAATCCAAAATATTTCAAAATCTGAAACACTTCTGGTCCAAAGCATTTTTTTAATATTTATTTTTTTTTAGTTGTCATTGGACACAATATTTTATTTATTTTTATGTGGTGCTGAGGATTGAACCCAGGGCCTCGCACGTGCTAGGCGAGCCACAATCCCAGCCCCTGGTCCCAAGCATTTTGAATGAGGAAAATTTAACCTGCACAATACTTTTCTGAAAATTTTATTTAAGGACAGCATCACATAGTTCTATGTATTAGCATTTCAGCCAAAAGTGGTTTTAAATATTTATATTTCTCATTATAAAAATTAAGGCCATCATAGAGTACAAAATCTAGAAGAAAAAATCTGGATTAAAAAATCTATAATTCTATCACATGAATGCAATGAACATCAGCATTTTTATATATTTTCTTCTAGGATTTTAAACCACATACAGTGGGCCTTTCATATCTGTAGATTCAACAAACTTCAGATAAAAATATTTGGGAAAAATTGCATCTGTACTGAACACATACAGACTTTCCTGGTTCTTACTCTCTATACAACATAGAACAACACTTATTTGCATAGCATTTACATTGTATTAGATATTACAAGTAATCTAGAGATGACTTATTAGATTAGATGGGAGGATGAACATAAATTATATAATACCATCTTAAGGACTTGAGCAGCCTCAGATTTTGGTATTTGCAAGGGTTCTAGAACCAAAATACAGAGAGACAACTGTAGCTGATAGAGAATATGTAATTTGGCTATGTTTTTTTTAATTTAAAATATAAATATTTTCTGTTAAATAGCCTTAAAAATTATAAAGATCTGCCCAATAGTTATATTAATGATGTTAATATTACCTAAGTTGGCCGTTATGGTTGAATGTTTYGGCTTATAATAAAATATTAAAGCAATGTTTTATATATAATTTCATTGGATTAAAATATGGACTTTTATTTTGGAGTCACAGTATTAATATAACTTAGTGAATTCTCATATTCCAGAACTAAAATGATTGATTTAATGGTATTGTGAAAGGGAGAACTCTAATAAGGCTCTTCTATGCAAATTATATTTTACAGAAGTTACCTATTAAAAGTAACCTTTAGCAGATAGCAAACAGACCTTTGGTGTTCCAGTATGATCCATTTCTAAATGGATCTAAACTTCTAAATCTAAACTTCTTTCTTCTTTTTTACCTTTATTTTATTTATTTGTTTTCTTGTGGTGCTGAGGATGGAACTCAGTGTCTCACTCATGCTGGGCAAGTGCTCTACCACTGAGCTACTATCCCAGCCCCCAGGATGATACATTTTTATCATTCCATAATTCTATTAAATACCACTTGACTGACATTTCCTGGCTGCAGGTCTTAGGTTTCAGACTGATAAATCAGGGTTCATGACAAGAACAATATGGTAAATCTTTACATAGTCATGTGTTACATGTCAGAAGTGAGTCTGTTTCTGGATCTGATAAAGGAAATGGTGATCACTGAGTAGTACAGGGAAATACACTCCCAAGGGAGCAACAAAAATAAGACTCCCCAACCCAGCAAAAAAGCTGATTAGCATTATATTAGTGGGTTCTGGGTAAATTCAGCTTTTAAATGTTAGCTAGTCACTAACACCAGAAATTCTTTTTTAAATGTATTCATTTTCTTGAGTGAAGCATTATTCTCCCCGGTTTATTCAACAGTGCAGTCTCAGTGCACTCAATATCTGGCACTGCTGTGTGCAATAAAGAAATAAGATTTGGAAGTTGCTGTTTTTTCTCTTCCRAAGTGAGAATGCAGTGAGGCTTAGGGGCACCTGGCAGTCTGAGGAGAATGGGAGGTTATGGAGGTCAGCAGGTTGTTGAGAGCAGAAGTTTAATAGGACACAGACTGGAAGAATGCAAATGCACTGCCCCAACTTCAGGTTGAAAGTGCACTTTATTTTCTAAAAGTGTAAAATACATTAAATATACAATTTCCTCTTTAATATCTTGCATTAAGTGAGAGGAGGTTAGGTAGGCCTCTGGAGTTTAAGGGWCCTGTAGGTAGCTATAGATAGGCCCATTTCTACTGCAGAACCAGACATGGGCATCTCCTGGATTATAACACGACCTGGAGAAGACAACTCTTAACAAAAAGAGAAAGAAAAAGGAAACACTAGAGTTCACAGTAGCAAGTGTCCCAAAAGGAAAAGCGACCATGAAACTAAATGTGATTGGAGAAATCCTTTCAGTGTGCTCCGATGGCTCATTCTTTGTTTAAATCCACCCCACCCCCATCGCCAGTGAAAATAATCGTGTTCCAGGACCATCGCTTTATTTATGCTGCAGAGTCCAAGTCCTTTAATTCGTCAATGAAAGCACATGACGGGGATACTGCTTTTTGATTGTGGTGTTTAAAAAGCTGGGAGGTGGAAGGCAAGCCCCCCCCCCCCCAATACCCATTGCAACCCACACTGAGGCCGTACAGAAAGAGGCGGCGCTAAAGAGAAGCCAGCCCCAATCCCTGCTGGAGATTCATCCGGGACCTTCAAGAAACGCATCTTCAGAAAAAAGTTTTGTTGCTAGRCGTGGCCTCTGATCCCCTCGCGTGATTCCAGGCCGGGTCTTGGAGCCCGCCCTCGGGGGGAATGTCCCGGACTCGTGTCGGTACCTTTTCGGTCTGGGAATTTCCAATGTGCGGAAAAAAATCCACAGACCTAGTCCCGGCTGCCCCCTCCCGCCTCCCCGGGCCCTCTGTGCCCACGCGGAGGATGGAACCCGAGGAGGACCCCGGTTCGGCCTTTCAGAAAGCTCGCGCTTCGTTCCCCGCCCCCACCGCCCGCTCCCGTGGGGAGCAGAAGGCGAACCCTATAAAGGGGGCCGGGGACTCGGCAGCCTCCTGCTGCCACGAGGTCAGAAGACGAGCTGGTAGAGGAAAGGCGGTCTCTGCTCCTTATCATGTAACCTCAAAAAGGAAACTGATCATCTTTTCTCATGCTCTCACGTACTTCGTTAATTATCGCTGATTACAGAGCTGGAAACATTTGATTCGCTTTTACGTATTTGTATGACTTGACTCTTCAAACACAAAGGTATATTTTTATTATTTGATATTTAGTATGAAGAAGTGTCTTAAAATGCTAAGTCCCCGCCCCTTTCTTTTTCCCATATTTTTTCCTTGGGAATCACTTTCTGATGTTTGAGTAATATTTGCTTTGGGGCAAAATATTGGGGGTGAGGTGGAGCAGGTTTTCTTTTTTTTTTGGGGGGGGGAAGATCTGGCGTGATTTTATAGTTTGTTAATAGCATGAATGGTGTCTGTTTATCTTAAAGGCTTAGGAGGGACTAAGATGCTGATGGTGGAAGTGGATAGGACAAGTGGCGAAGGCAGCCTAAATCTCATGTAAAGGGTTTAGCTTTAGTGACG